CACCCTGGTGGGAGTTTGGGGAAGGTTGTAAAAATAGAAATGTGCATTATTTTCAAGCTGTTTTTCTTAATGTTTTTAAAGGACTGTTTTTAATTAGCTCTTTGATATAAAGTAACTCAGAACATCCAGGCCTCTATGTGCCTCCAGACAACAGAAAAGGGAGTGGTTGTGTCTCATGGCAGCCAAGTGCAGGTCCCCGAGAGAGAACAGGGAGGGAGGCAGGGGGAAACCTGGGCCCGCACTGGGAGGCTTGGGAGCGGACGCCAGGCCAGCGGCAGAGCTCGCCGTCTCTGAGGCCCTGGGGGCTGCCAGGGCTGCTGTGCTTTTGGGGCTGGGGGTCCTGACGAGCTTCTGCTGACTCCCCCGAAGGCCTTGGCTGTTGTTCAGACTCGAGATCTAGATGGCAGATGGTAACATTGCCTGTTGTCGCAAAAATGGTGGAGGAAAATGTTGCAAAAAAAAAAGCTCCGTATACGCAGCTCTGAGGCTGCTCCAAACTGCAGTTTTTAATATGGATTTGTAACTTAATGTTTCTGTTTATAAGATACTAATGATTTGGGATGTATTTTACTGGCCAATTAAAACAGACCTTTTATTCTTTCTGAGACTGGCTTGGTTCCACATGAGCGCCCACTGATAATGCACACGTGGAGATGGGGGTGTGTGGTGGAGTGGGGCAGGAGGGAGCTGGATGACATACCTGTGATGACAGGTGAGGTACCTTGACAACAAATGTGGTCCCTCTGATGATAGAGGGTGTCCCCCTGATGATAGGACAGGTCCCCCTTACAACAAGTGTGATCCCCCTGATGACAGGTGAGGTCCTCTATGACAGGTGAGGTCCCCCTAGCAACAGGTGTGGTTCCCGCTAGCGACAGGTGTGATCCCCCTGATGACAGATGTGGTACCCATGGTGACAGGTGAGGTCCCCCTAGCGACAGGTATGGTACCCATGGTGACAGGTGAGGTCCCCCTAGCGACAGGGTGATCACCCTGACGATAGGTGAGGTCCCTTTGATGACATGTGGGATCCACCTGACAACAGGTTTGGTCCCCTGACAACAGGTAAGATTCCCCTGATGACAGGTGGGGTCCCCCTAACGACAGGTGAGGTCCCTCTGATGACAGGTGTGATCCCCCTGATGACAGGTGTGGTCCCCCTGATGACAGGTGAGGTCCCTCAGATGACAGGTGAGGTCCCTTTGACGACAGGTGGGATCACTCTGACAACACATTTTGTCCTCTAACGACAGATGAGGTCCCCCTGATGACAGGTGTGGCCCCTCTGACGACAGGTGAGGTCCCGATGACAGGTGTGATCCCCCTGATGACAGCTGTGGTCCCCCTGACGACAGGTGAGTTCCCTCTGACAACAGGTGTGGTACCCCTGATGACAGGAGATGTCCATTTGACGACAGGTGGGATCCCCTGATGACAGATGAGGCCCCTCTGACGACACGTGAGGTCCCTATGATGATAGGTGAGGCCCCCAGGACGACAGGTGAGGCTCCTTGGATGACAGGTGAGGTCCCTCTGGTGACAGGTGAGGTCCAGTTGTGGGGCTTTGGGTTGTGCTGGAAACCACAATGCTTCTGGGATGGAAAGGTGTGGAGTGGGGGCCCTGTGAGGGCCATGGGGACCTCAGGGCGGACAGAGACGGCGTCAAGCTCAAGGAGGGTGGGAAAGGCAGGGCCCCTCGCGTCTCCGAGGACTCAGCAGCGGGGTGTGTGCTCGAGGGCCAGACACAGGTCAGTGTCCCGAGGGAGCGGGGACAGGAGGCCGGTGGCCCGAGGGGAGACAGAGGGAGCTCAGTGCCGTTGAGCAGATATGGCTGCTCCCCTCCGAAAGGGGGGGAAGGAGCTGGGTGCACAACATGGGGGACGCGCCCCGCCTCCCAGGGAAAAATGCCTCTTCTCCTTTCTCCTGTCTTTTCTCCATTTGGTTTCCACTCAGTTGTCTTTTTACTTCCAGCCCCAGTCGCTCGGCCGCCTGGTGTGAGAGAGTCGTGGGGGGAGGGGTGGGATCTGGCTCTGGGGAAGCCGGGTCAGGCCTTCAGGGGTGCCGCGGCCCTGAACCGAGGACAGTAGTGATGAGCGTCCTTCCCAGGTGCACGTGGACTGGGGAGGAAAGTGCTGTTCTGCTGCTCTCCGGCTCCCCCTGTCTGCTCTGGGTGGGGGCCAAGGGGTTCAGACGCCCCGAACACGAGCGTCCATGGCAGGGCCGCAGGGCGGCTCCCAAGGGCCTGCGCAACACAGATTCACACGCAGGACCAGGCCCAGCGGAGAGAGTTGGGGCTGGCGGGGGCAGATAACGAGCTCTGCCCATGTCGGGGTATGTGGGAGGACTGAAAAGAGAACACCTGGGAGAATGAGGACCCAAAGCCCCACTCCGAGGACCCCAATCTTTTGCGACCCCAGTCTGTGCCCACTGACTTTCTCCAGCCCACCTGTTACCCCAAGAGGGAGCTGGTTCAGCTGCCCGCCTCTATCCGTGTCCCTCCGAGGCACAGAGCCTCCGAGCAGCCTCCAGGGCGGCCCCTGCACCGGCCCCCGGCTGGCGGACCCGAGGGCTCCCGGGAGCTTAGATGCCATGAGCTTGTTTAGGGAATGGAAGTGCACGTGGAAAAAGGGAGTTCGTCACTTGTACTTCATTCGGAACATTACGACACACCTAGTGCTGTCGGCTGGGTCATCAGGAAACACCTGCTCTGATTTTCCCCCGTGGTCCCAGGTGATAAGAAAAAATTGTGTTGAATAGATTATCAGAAACTTTCTGTTAGGCTGTGTTATAGGCTGAACTGTGTCACCCCAAAATTCATGTGTGAAGTCCTGGTCCCCAGGACCTTAGAAAGTGACTGCCTTTGGAGATAAGCCTTTAAAGAGGTGATTAAGGTTACATGAGGTCACTAGGGTGGCCCTGATCCAGTCTGACTGCTGTCCTTTTAAGAAGAGGAGGTCAGGACACAGACACGCACAGAGGATGACCCCGTGAGGACACAGGGAGGAGACGGGCATCTACGCACCGAGAGCAGCCTCAGGAGGCCAGCCCTACCCACGCCTGGACCTCAGACCTCCAGGCTCCTGACCCAGAAAGCGAATGTCTACTGTGGAAGCCGCCCGAGCGAGCCTTTGGTCACGGCAGTGTCAGCAAACAGCTCAACTGAAAACGCAGAGAAGGGTTTCCTCGGCACAGTCAGAGGTACCTGTCCGCAGACGGCTGCCCTCCGAAGCTGCGTTTGCGTGAATCTCCCCTCGTCTGGAGGGGGAGGACGCAGGACGCCACCCAGGGCCCAGGCCGCCAAGTGGACTCCCCGCCGCGACCTCCGAGTCCTTCGTCCCTGCTAGGAATCGAGAGATTCGCCTGAAGGCTCAGCAGACCCAACACCAGAAGCGCCTGCAGAGCCGCATGAAGGCCCCTGGCCGCCTGGCCCTTTGCCGTCTCTGCTGAGAGGCAGGAGGCCCTGGGAGGAGGCCACTCCGACCTAGGGCCGCGGGAAGGGCCAGCAGGCTGGCCTCTGCCTCTGCAGTGATGTCACAGGGGCCACCTAGCAACGGGGCCCAGGAACACAAGGGCAGCTCCCCGTGGAGGGGGTGGAAGCCATGCGCTCCGTCTGAGGGCTGCGTGAGAGCCAGCGTCCTTCTTCTTTCCCGTGGCCCGAAGGCAGGGAGGATGGAGAAGGACACCACGGCCGCACACAGGAGGCACCAGCTGGGCCCCGGGGCCCCTCCCTCGGCCGTGAGCCCCGGACACCTCAAGGCGGCCAGCGGGATGGCTGAGCTCCAGAGAAGCCGATGTGTGGGCGGCCTGCACCAGAAAGGGGACCCCCCGAGCTGCATCAAGACGCTGTGCAAGGAGCTAGGTAGGGCCGGGGGCAGGGCGGGGCAGACTGCTCTCCCCGGGCCAGCGAGGGCCACACACCCACCCCCCACCCCGGACCCACTGCCCCTGCCTAAGATCCTAAAGGCCAGGGTGGGGCGTGTCGGGCACTGAGGTCTGAGGGGGCAGAGCCAGCCTGGGACTGTGTGGGGACACCCCGGGGTCCAGCACGGGAAGTGTCTCAGGTTTATGAGGAGGCCCTGGGGTGAGCCCCAGTCCCGCTGCCAGAGCCAGGGCCCTCGCAGCCAGGGGCAGCAGTGAACCCACGGGGCTGGGGGCCGCCCGTCTGCTCGTCGCTAATGTGGCCTTTACGTTGTAAAGTGTGCACACTTACACCTTGTGTCAGCCACGTGTCCCACATGTTTCTGACCCTGCGAGCGGGCCATGGTGTGGCCGAAGTGGGGACGGGTGCCCGAAACGCCCTGGTCCTTATGTGGACCTGCCCCTGGAAGGTCAGCTACCCCAGGGCAGCGGGCCCGAGTTGGCGGAGAGACGGGGTGACTGCCAGTCGTCGGCAGGACCCCAGCAGTTGTGGTTCACACCAGCAAGTGCCCTTTGCTAAGACTGTCGTGTAGGAAGTCTAAGTGACTCTCTTAGGAAACAAAACACGGTAGGCGGGAAATGCGGTTTGCTTGTTCAAGCCCTAGGAGCGATTTTAAGAGGTCATTGTATAAAAATATTTGTTCTTCTCTCAGCTTAAAAATCCAAAGCTGTGTTATCTCTGGAGGAGGAGGGGAAGGGGGAGCCGGCGGTCACAGCACAGGGGCCGCTGCATCTCCACTACCTCCGACCGATAAAAGTCCAAGCACAGGGCTTCCCTGCTGGCGCAGTGAGAGTCCGCCTGCCAATGCAGGTGACACGGGTTCGTGCCCCGGTCCGGGAAGATCCCACATGCCGCGGAGCGGCTGGCCCGTGAGCCAAGGCCGCTGAGCCTGCGCATCCGGAGCCTGTGCTCCGCAACGGGAGGGGCCACAGCAGTGAGAGGCCCGCGTACCGCAAAAAAAAAAAAAAAAAGTCCGATTACAGCCACTCCTTCTCAGGCTCTCGGGAGGGCCGAGCTCCCCAGAGAGGAAACCAACCTATAACCTGCTCAGGAAATATTGCAAGTAGCCACAGTGTGTCCCCAGTAGTGCCGGCCACGGACCTTCCCACCCAGCACCGATGGGTTTGCCGAGGCAGGATGGAGGGCAGGGACGCACCGAGCGCTGCACTGCCAGCCGCCGTGCACACACCCGCCCCAGGCGCCAGGCCCGGTGGGGCTCCCGGACAGCATGGAGGGGATGCGCCGCCCGGAGCCGGAGCCACGCGGAACACAGCTCGCTGTCTACATGGTAAAATGAGACGAGGTGCGGCCTCCCGAGTGAGGGCGGGGCACCCGCCAGGCCTGGGCGCTCACACTTGGAAGCAAGAGCCTGGAGGCTGGTGCCGCCGGGCCCGCAAGCGCCAAGGTGACGTGGACGCAGGAGGCGGGGCCGAGCGCCTGTGGGACACGCCCCCCAGCCGGGCGGGAGAGGAGTCCGCGCACGGAGGGTCCGCGGGAACCCGCGGATCCACGGCTGAGCTCGCGCCCGGGCCCTGAGCCTTTGCCTGGGACGCCAGACCGCAGCCGCCGGCCTCGCTGCCGCAGAGCCTCCGGGCCAGGCGCCCCAACGACGCCCCCACTGCAGGGGTGCGTCCAGGGCAAGGAGGGGGCTGTTCCCCGGAGGGGCTCCAGGCATCGGCGAACTGGGCCTGCTGAAATCCGCAAGGTGGAGGAGGGGGCGAGGGGCGCCCTGGCCGCGAGGTAGCGTCAGGCCGGTCGTGCAGCGGGTTCCCGCCCGTGTCGGCCCCGCCCCGGCCCGCGCCTGTCCCGCCCTCCGCTCCCACCGGCGCGAACCCCGGCTTCCGGGGGCGGCTCGCGGTCCAGACAGTGACCTGTGAGTGGTTTGGCGATCACTTGGAGGCCAGCTGAAGAAAGGCAGCAAAGGAAATAGTCTCTTCGCGTGCGGGGGCAGCTTCTGCCCGGCCTGCTACTCCTCCCGGAGCCACGCACGAGCCCAGCCTGGAGCCTTACGGGCTGAGCCCTGCAGGTGCGCCCAGAACCCCGAAGAAAGCAGGGCCTTTCTTAGAAAGCGGACAAAGGGGGAACCCGCGAACACACTGATATTTTTACTTTATGATAACGAGGCACTGGGGGCAGGTGTGTGTTTCTCATTCCACAGCTGCTTTGGAGCAAAGAAAAACCAGGCTCTCTTTTTACTGATTCTTTCCTTCCTGCCAAATACACGTTACAGGAAGGAGCAGGTTTGAAGATCTATCTGGAGCGGCCCTGTGTCTTCTAAAAACGGACACACTTGCACACATACACAGACATGCACAAGCACACACGTGTGCACACACGTAGGGGCTGCTGAAGATTTTCTGGAAGAAGCCCACCGTAGATCGCTGCCAGAAAACCACTGAGCCGAACCATCCGGGCCCTTCCATCTGAGGTCGACGCAGCGCCCTTCCTGCTGAGAGCTGCCAAGTTCTGAAATAGTCTCTGAAGACCCAAGGTCGCCTCAGCCTTGGCCTTCAGGGCTTTGTTTCTAGGTGGCCAGGGCCAGCCTGGGGATGGCGGCACAGCCGCAGGTCAGCAGACGTCCCGGAGCCCGTGTGCGAAGAGGATGCACAGCACCTAATTCTCACCCACAGGGAACTCAGACCAGAGACAAGGAAAGTGTGCGGACGACCCCGCCCAGGGCGGGGGCCAAGTGCCGGGGAGAATGGGCGTGACGGAAAGCTCCCTCCAAGGAAAGTTGCTTAACACTGGGCAGGGGGCCCAGGTGCCCATGAAGGATGGCGCTGGAGGACGGCAGGGGTCGGGGGACACGGTCCAGGGGAGGGACAGCATGCAAGACAGCGAGGACCAGCGAAAAAGCAGGAACAGAAAGCAGGGCACCTGCCGGAGCCGGGCCCTCACCCCCTCTGTCCAGCAGGTATCCCCGGCCCCGAGGCCTGTGAGCTGAAAGGATCCCGAGTAGCTGATCTGGCCACCAAATTCTGTAGGAAGTCCTCCGGGATAGTGGCTTGCAGAGGCATCCTGCTGGGTCTCCTGTCAAAAACATTATTTAAAGCTTGGAGTCTCCCTGGGGCGGTGTTTTCATCGGGCCCAGGGGTCCAGGCTGTGTGTCAGGCTGTGGGGTGGAAACCAGGCCGCTCTGGGGAGAGTCTGGAGCAGCTATGGGGACCGTCATCTCAGGCATCTTGGGCTCAGAGGTGACTGCACAGAAAGGGGACCTGGAGCGTCTGCGACTTCAAGACCCCTCCCTCGGGGGCCTTCTCTTAGGTCCCAAAGGGATAGGAAACCCCCTTGAGGTCTGCGACCTGCGAGAAGCAGAAGCCTGCGTTTCACCAGGAAACCCCAGTGTCCTGCTCAGAGCTCACAGCTCACAAGGCTCACGCTGTCTCGCCGAGGTCACCAAAATGCAGCTTCCCATAATAGTTTACTGACAACTGCTCCATGCATGAGCCCGGGTCTGGATCCTGTGCCCCTTTCTCCTCACCTGACAAAGACCTTTCCCAGCCAGAGGACTCCCACCGCTGGCAACGCCCCTCAGAGGAGCCAGGAGGAGCGTCCTGGAGGGTGTGGTGTGGTTCAGATCTCACCTCCGGGGCTGGGTCGCCGCCCCCCCCCCGCCCCACACTGGCCCTCAGCTTCTGCTGCTTCCAACCCCACCTGCTGCCACCAGGAGGACGCAAGGGGTCCCTGCGCCTGGCACAGTGACAGTAGAGGCAACGCCAAGGCCTCCCGCCGCGTGCCACGGAGCGGGCAGAGGCCCTGCAGTCTCTGTCGGTCTCTGCCCTTCGACGGCCTGCACCGGCCTGCAGAGGGCTGATGTGAAGAGTCGGGGCGGGCGGCCTCCTGGGCCGGGGATGCGTGAGAACGCCGGTCAGAACTGGGGCGGCAGCGCCCACACCCCGCAGGTGGCCCGTCAGCATCCTCGCAGGCTGACGACAGACCCGCTGCTTCCTCCTCAGAGCCTGAAGGTCATGGGAAGGACCTCAGAAGCGACACGGAAGATGCCCACTGGTGAGTGGCCTTGTCCAGCGGAGGCAGCTGTGCAGAGCCGTGCGGAGAACACGGCAGGCCGGGGTGGGAGTGGGCGCCAGCGTTAAGACCTGGCGGGGGGAGGGGGTGCTGAGGAAGGCCAGGGCGTCCGGAGAAGACCTCGAGGCTCAGACGGGAGGGGCGGGGGTCGGTGACCCAGGGGGTTCGCAGGGCCTCAAGCAGCCCCCTACCAGCATCCCCCCGGCCCAGCATCTTGGGGCCGGCGCCTATCGCTGCAGACCTTCCCCCTCGGATCCCCGGGCAGAAGGCATCTCGCCCGAGAGCCTGCCAGGGCTCCCGGCGTCCCTTGTGTTGGGGCAGGTCGGGGTGACGGCTCCTCAGGGAGGTCAGCTCAGCAGCACTGCCGCGTCCTTCTCCGCTCTGCCCACCCCTCTACCCGGGTCTGCCTCGCCCACCGCCCGCCAGCCCCGCCCTGCTGACCCAGGGGCGCCGGTGCCCAGGAGGGAGGAAGGTGTCGTCTCAAAGTCCCGCTTGCACCCGCTGCAGCCAGGCAAGCCCGGAGGAGCAGCGCCAGGACGCCGCTGGGCAGGTGCGGGGGCGTTGGAAGGAGGCGGAGCCCGAGGCCAGCGGCCAGGAGGAGCCGGACGGCAGGGAGGGCGCAGACAAGCGCGCCCTGGAGGCCGAGGTCAGGCCGTGGTCCTTTCACGTGCACGCGCTGCCGGCCCTGCGCGTTGGAGTCCTGCCTCTGTTTATCCGTTCGGTGTCTTCTTACAGGAAGGGGAGCCAGAGTCCGTACAGCTGGGTGACCTCCTGGAAAAAGAGGCAAGAGCTCTTCACTTTAGTAACAGAAGTCAGAGGGGAGGCCTGTCAGGCACAGTCCTGCCGAGGACGCGCGGGCAGCACCAGGCCCCGCCTGAGCTGCCTCAGCGCCCAGTCTGTGCTCCTGGCTGGCGCCAGGGCACCTTAACCCCGGCTTGCCAAACAGCACAGCTGCTGAGGGAGCGGGGGCCCCGACAGGAGGTGACCCTCAGCTTGCCCTTGTCAGGGAGCCCCAGCCCCGGCCCGCCGCAGCCCAGGGGCAGCGGTGCTCACAGGACCCTGTCCAAGAGAGGCTTTCCTTCCCCTTCCCCATCCGCGTGCAGGGGTGGAGGGGAGCTGGGCTTGGCCTGCATCCAGGGCCCCTGGGGTCCCCTCCACTCCCCAAAACACTTCTCCCATTGTTGACTAAACTGCTACCACTGGGCGAAGCCAAGGTGCCTGGTCAGAGACCTGGGGGCCGCTGCACCTGAGCCCCCCAGGCCTTCCCAGCTCACTGTGTGTCTCTGCAGCTCGGGCAGCGGGGCAGGGGGTCTGCAGAGGCAGAGCTCAGGCGCTGCCCAGATGAGCAGGCCTGCAGTGGGCCTGGAGGGTCCACCCAGCTCTGGGCATCACCGGCCCTGATTCTCAGGGGGCAAAGCCGGGGGAGACCCTCTGAGTTCTCAGGGACCTGATGGGAGGTGAGCAGGGAGGGTTGGGAGGCCACATCCCTCCTCTCCCTGTGCCAGAGGGCACCTTACCAACCAGTGTCAGCAGGTCCCACCACAGACTGCCAGTGTCTGGTGGGCTCAGTGTAACGCCCAGACCCTGGCCACCACTGGCCCAGAGCCCACGCTCCCTCCCAGGAATCTGTGTGCCTTCCTGGCTCACCCAAGCCCACCATCCACGCCTCTTTGGTTTCCATCCACAGAAGCCATCTGTGTTTGTGGAGGTTGATCTGGGAGACGGATCAGAGGAGGTAAAAAAAACCCAAAGTTCACAAAGCCAAACCACCCACCGGGAAACGCCTTGCTTGGAGCCATGCGGCATTCCCAGGAGCTTGCCCCGGGCATGGGTGTGCTGGAGGCTGAGGCAGAGATGGGGCCCCAGGGTTTGGAGACTGGCCAGGGGACCAGAGAGCACCTCGCTTCTTTCTCATTTTCCCTCACGCCAACCCACACACATTCCTGCACCTCGATAGATTCCAGGGCCTGGGTCAACCCTCGAGGTACCCAGGGGCCCTGAGAACCTCTTGTGAGATTGTGCTGGGGTGGTGAAAGGGCACAAGCTGAGGAGCTGGGAGACCCAGCCTCCACAGCTCTCCAGTGAATGCTCAAACAAGTCACCATACCTCTCCATGCCTCAGTTTTCTCACCTGCAAAATGGGGATCTTAGTAGCACCCACAGTCCAGCGTTGTTTTGTGACACCCTCAGAACACTGCCTGGTACCCAGGAAGTGCCAGCATTAGATATCATCTTCACCACCACCGCCACCATCACCATCATCACCATCATCACCACCACCATCATCGTCACCATCATCACGTCTTCACCATCATCACCACCATCACCATCATCACCGCCATCATCACCATTTTCTGTAAAAGGAAGTGGTTAACCCCATGGCCTGATTGGGCCTTTCCAACACAAATATTCTCCATTTCTCTGCTATAGTGAGCAGCCATCTCTTCGGAAGTTTTTTGAAATTCTCTCCTGGCAAATGTAAGCCCCTACCCGGGGGTTGCTTTTTTCCAGATCGCACCTTCTATATCTGCCCTCAGAACATGCTGTACGATGAAGAGAGCTGGTTATTGACCGCCTCCACACACAAGGCTACCTCGGGGCACCACAGGCTTCAAGGACTCATGAAGAATCAGTCAGGGGCAGAGCTGGGACTTAGGGTCCAGGTCTTCTGACCTACAGTCCAGGGGTCATGGTAGCTCACATCCAGGCACAGTTCCTTCGTCAGGGTCCCCTAGTTAGAAATTCCCACTTGACGGTGCCCCGTCTTGTGGGAGGATGCTCAGTGCAGTCTCCACGCCCCACCTCATCCTTGGGCAGGTTCAGCAGGTCCGGCCCTGGTCCCTGTCATGACCCCCTCGCCTGTCCCCTCAACTACTCCCACCACATCCCACAGGTGATCACATGTGCCATGAAAGAAGAGAAGCGGTCCCAGACGGACATGGGGGATTTGTCAGAGGACGAGTGAGTGAGGGGTTCACACTGAGGAAGGTGGGAGGCTTTTCCTCCATCAGGGTTTCTGGTGGGCAGAGCGAGCCCCGGGCTTTCGATTCCTCCTGGGCACACGCAGAGATCCAGGCATTTACTGCAGCTAGAGGGGTGAGGCAGGATCCCCATGAGTCCCACCTCACCCCTAGCTAGACCCCTCTCCCCACCCTGTCAGCCAAAAAAAGGGCCAGAGTAGGAGGGAGGGAAAGGTGGGAAGAAGAAGAGGGGGTGAGAGTGGGAGGGTCTCCTCTCTGTGCAGCTCCGAGGTCGCAGCCCTTGGTCCGGCAGGCAGTGGGGGGACCCGTCACACGTGGCTGCTGGCTCAGCAGGGTAGAGGGACCTGGGGCCGGGGGCGGGAGACGTTTGTCCTGACCGCCTCCACCCTGTGGGTAGAGATTGTGAGGCTGCGAGCGCCTGGGAGCAGGTGAGACGCTCGCCCAGGGCCGTGGCTCTGTGGCATTTTAAACAATACAGAGAAACACAAAGGAGAAAACAGCAATTTGTCCCCTTTCCACCAGAGTCGGAATTAACAACCACGTCAACGTCTTGGCTAATTTGCTTGCACGGTTTTTAAAAGAAAAATTTCTCTATTTACTTTGTAAAACCGATACGCGGTCATTTAAAATAAATGAAAATGTGAGATAGCCCAACACAGAGGAAAACTTTTAAATCTGCGAGTGCCACCTCGGAAACAGTGGGGACTTCATGGGAGCACGTGGCCCCAAAGGAAGATCCGCACCGCGGGAGAACAGGGCCTTCGGGCCATTGTGGGTTGCCAGCTGTGAACGTTTATAGCATCACAGCCCTTCGCTTACTTGGCAGTCGCTGTTACTGCCTTTCCCCAGGTTGTGTGTTTTGGAGGAGAGCGTTCCTGTTAGGAAGTGTCACCCCATGTCTCTCCTGATCTCTGCTCACACAGCCGGCCGTGTGGCTTTCACCAAGATGTCAGGACTGGCCGGCACGCCCCCAAATCTATGCTTGGGGAATTCCCTGGTGGTCCAGCGGTTAGGTATCCGCGCTTTCACTGCCAAGGGCTCAGGTTCAGTACCTGGTTGGGGAACTAAGATCCTGCAAGCTGCATGGCATGGCCCAAAATAAAAAATTTTTTTAATTTAAAAATTAAGAAAAATATTAAACCAAACCTATGCTTGACATGGGAAGGTCTTTCCTAAGCAGACATCTGTTTTTCTCATCAATTCTTGATTGGTGATGGATTCGGCCACACTGGACGCAGCCTGGCAGCTCCTTTTCTGCCCCAGGCCAGGCGGGCCCAGGCCCACCCTCTCGGCCTCTGGTTCCGGCTCCCCACCGCCCGTTCTCAGTCACCCCAGAGAACCTGCAGACGGGCCGTGCCCAGGAGCCAAGCCTCAGCTGCTGGAGGCTGCTTGGCCAGCAGGACAGGGTCTGCTCCACAGGGGCCTGGCCTGGACATTTGCCGGGCAGGGCCACCTGTCTGCCCTGCTCACCTGCAGCCTCAGTTTCCCTCAGAGCTAAGCCGCCTCTATCCAGCCAGCACCCTAGGGCACCCAGGCACTAGCAGCCCGTTAGCCGCCCGCTGGAGGGCTTTGGCACTGAGCCGTGGAGGTCCCTGCGAAGGGAAGGGGGCCACCTCGTCCCAGAGCCTCGGTTGCAAGCGGAACCCCCAGAGCCCACGCACCGGGACAGGCACGGGCTGCGATGCTCGGGAAACGCTGGGCTGGGCACCGTCCACCTGCAACGCCTCTTCGGAGCCGGGCAGGGGAGGGAGGGCAGCTCGGCTCTGCTGACCTTCAAGGTCTGCTGTGCTCAAGGGGTCCCTCCTGGGCTGGAGACACAGGGGTGGCGGTGGGAGGGCAAAGCCCGGCTCTGCACCAGCCGGGAGCCCCGCTGGCCTTGGCAGGATGGGGCGGGGGCAGCTCTCTCACCCGCCCACCCTGCCCCACTCTGTCTCCAGGATCGGGACCAGCTGGGTGTGCTGCATCCCATACTCCACCAGGAAGAAGGTGGAGGAGAGCTCATAGCAGCCGGAGAAGGTAGTTCACGGGCCGAAGTGGGTGCCTGGAGGGGCAGGAAGTAGAAAGGGGGCGGGGACCAGGCCGCCTCCTGGGTCCCACCCTAGCCCTGCCCCCTCTGGCCAGGGGTCTAACCGAGGTCTCCATCTGTCTCCTAGGGTCGGCCAGGCCGGGAGGGGCGAGGGACGAAGCCAGCGGCCCTGAGAGACGCCACGCAGACCTGGTGCCGTGACCGCCCCGCGTGTGGCGTCCCCACCACTGCGAAGTGATGATGCCACCTTTAAAAAGGGCTCAGTAAAGCACGAACGGAAGGCGTTGTCCCTCTCCAGGGGCCCCATCCCTTCTTTCCACACACCCTGCCCTGTGAAATGTAAGTTAGGGGGAGATGCAGCTCAGGGATGGACGGCACAGGTGGCCACAGCTCCCAGGTCAGTGGTCGCGCAGCCCCGCACTCAGCCCCAACGAGGGCTGCCACCAGGGTACGGTGGGACCCCAGGCATTGGTCCCCAAGCACCAGGGGCAGGCGTCCTTGCAGCTGGAACTGGGAGCCTCGAGCGCCACGTGGAGGAGATGAAGCCGCAGGGAGATGCTGCTTGTGGGAGCGGGGAGGGGCGTCAGGGGTCGGGGAGCCGCACCAGGGAGACCCGACGGGCTTCGAGGCTCCTCTGTTCAACCAGCTGAGGCTCTGCAGCCTGTCCCAGGCCATTCCTGTGGTTCAGCCCAAGACTAAGGACGCGGTGGCCCACGGGCCCCCAGCAGCAGGCACACTTGCGCGTTCTCACCAGGCACGCCCTCCTGAGCAAGTGCCCCCTGTCCCTGCCCGCTGAGTGGCAGCTCCTGGCTCCGGCACCTGGCCCCCGAGTAAGGCACCGAGAGGAGCTTCCGGAGAGTCCGCCGGAGGAGGCTGTCTGGGCTGCAGTCATTTTACCGGTCCCTCTGCTCCCGGGGCTCAGCCACAGCGGGCCAGGAGGGTGACCGGCCCCCAGCCGGCCCTCGCCCTCGGTCTGTCCGTGTCCACCTCTGGCCGCCACGGACAGCTGGCCTCGTTCAGAGCCACGTGCCGCCTGTCTGGCCATGGAGGGGCCCCGGGGGGGGCAGGGCGGCCTCACACGTGTGCACAACCCGGCTGGCTTGGCGGTGACCTTTCACCTCCCGTGTCGGCTGGGGTGCCTGCAGGGAGCTGGTCCGGGCGGCGCCATGGGAACCTGCAGGGCCGGCTGCAGGTGTGGAGGTGGCGGCTCCTGTCTCCTGCCCACGGGCCAGGCTCCAGCCCGGCGGGTGGACGCGGCCCTGGGGGCCTCCGCTCTGGCGCCCCCAGGCCCGCCGAGGCCCATAGAGCAGGCGCTACCCATGGAGCCCGACCACAGCCCTGCGTCGCCCACCTCTGCATCCTGCCAGGCAGCACGCCAGTCCCAGGGGTGACGAGGGCGTGATGCGGGCCTTGCGGATTTAAAAAGAGCCGACGACCTGGAGGGAAGCTGTACAATCTAGGGCAGTAAGAACCATTAGCTCGCCGTTGGCAGCTCAATGCGCTCACGTCAGACCAGGAGGGAAGCCGGAGTCTCCAGCCTGAGCCGCCCTGGTGGCCGGAGCTGCTTCTGCCCATCGCGCTGCTTGGAGCTCGGCAGGGGGCCAGCCTGGCCTTTGTGGCCTGCAAGCAGAAGACGGGTGTTTACATTTAGGGAGGGTTGCCCCCCAGCCTCCCCCTGCTCGGAGGCCCCAGTCCTCAGGGTCCCCCGACTCAGCCTGCAGGGGCGCCTATGCAAGCTCACCAGACGCTGGGCCCCCTGTCGCCTGACCCAGCTTCCTCCTCCGTCCCCGCTGGCCCCTCAGCTACTCAGACACCAGTGAATGAGAGGCCGCAGGGCCCCCCCCAACCCGGGGCAGGGACAGCCCCGACACCTCTGGCGGACGCCAGCCGCACACTGGCGCCTGTCTTGCCTGGGCCCCAGAGCACCACGCCAGTGCCTCCTGCTTGCTTCTCCCAATAGTATTCTCCCCCAAATCACATATGCGTTTTCGCTGTGGGAAACGTGGGAACCAGCAAAAAGCATTTAGCCTGTCATCTCGTCAGATTACCTCCAGATTATCACTGTTAGAATTTCCATCTATTTCTCTTGAGTGTTTCCTCTCTCTTGATGTATGTAGAGAGAGCTATATGTGGAGATGGGTAAATAAAGCTTTTTTACAAAATTGGCGTCACACTGCACCAGTTGTTTTGTTTTTTTTTTAACAGGTTTTCCTTCCGTCATAAGCCCTTTCCCCAATATCACCGTAAATGTTTGCTGAAAGCCTACCACGTGCCAGGCACCGTTCCAAGTGCCGGGGACATGGCGACGGTTGAACGAATCCTGGCCTCGCGGAGCTTCCATTCCAAGGGGGAAACGAGAGTGGGCGTCCAGTGCGTCTTGCTTTATCTGCACGCAGCCCCACAAAAATGCGCTCCATCGGGCTTCCCTGGTGGCGCAGTGGTTGGGAGCCCACCTGCCGATGCAGGGGACACGGGTTTGTGCCCCGGTCCGGGAAGATCCCACATGCTGTGGAGCGACTGGGCCCGTGAGCCATGGCCGCTGAGCCTGCGCGTCCGGAGCCTGTGCTCCGCAACAGGAGAGGGCACAACAGTGAGAGGCCCGCGTACCGCAAAAAAAAAAAAAATGAGCTCCATCATCTGAAAAGTGATGCTCCAGGGCCACACCTCCCAGGGCACTGTGCATACCTGCTAATGAGCACGCAGAGTAATGTGAAACGTGGATGGCGGGCTGGGCGAGGAAGGGGCTCGGGGAGCGTGCGGCGAGCAGCGGTGACCACGTGACACCTCAAGACGTTTGGCGAGTCTCACTTCACTGATTCTACAAGGTGGGCCCTATTATGGTCCCGATTTGGCAGCAGGAAGGCCGGGTGTTGCGTGTGGAGAAGGGTCAATAGCATGGCGCCGCCCACCGGCTGCTGCCCTCAGAGGCCGCCGTGCCCACGTGCCAACCAGCGTGTGCTGTTGCTGCTGCTGCCGTCGATTCCTGGTCTTTTCCTGCTGCTCCAAGGACTTGGACGTGAAAGAGAGGCGTCCCCGCCCTCCCTGATCCCGCCTAGAACGGCAGCCGCGCTTGCCTCGCACGCCCCCTGGTGGCGGGATGGCGCCCTCACAGCCTCTCTCTGTTTTTCAGTAGGGAAGTCATCCTCCCAGACCTTTCACCAGGCGGCGGCCCATCTGAAGAAGCAGCCAGAATGTGAATGCGGTGGTGGCCGTCTGTTGTTGGGCAGAGTGAGGCCTGACCCAGGCCCCGTGTGCATGGCCACCGCGCCCTCCAGTCCAAGGCATGTAGCTTACACGCAGCCCGGCGGTCAAGTGTCCTGGCCACTGACCCTCCCTGCACCATGACCTCGCGACCCATGACCCCACGAGCTCTGTAGGACAAACAGACCTGCACCTCTGTCTAGAGTCCTGGGCGCCTCCGAGGGTGGACGACATTTGGCTCATGTGGAAACCCACCCCCCAAATAGATGCTTCCCGTGATGCCCTGACGTACTTCACCCAGCAAAACACAAGCGCAAAGGTCACTCACACGGCAGCATCCTGAGGCCCCTGTGCCCAGTATCCCTCCAGTGTCCCCATGTCCCCAGGTGCCCTGAGTCTCTCTGGACTCCCTGGTGTCCCTGGTGACATCCGGCATGGAGGGCCCACTTGTAGGAGGGTGGAACTGAGTAAGGACGGCCTGGCCGCCGCGGGGAGGGGGGCACTTGCTAAGGCCTTTGGAGGTGAGAGGCTCACCGGAGCAACATGCAGAGCTTGTCAGGGCCAGCCCGGGCCGTGCAGTGGGAAAGCATCCCCTCCTGTCCCATGAGTTGTCCCTTCCCAGAGTGCAACCTGCCTACGGACTCTACCAGCTGCCTGGGAGAGGGGCGGGCAGGGGGCAGCCCTGAGGGCAGGAGAGGAGGGGAGCCCTGTCCTGGGCAGGGTCTGGGGGTGGGGGGA